TATATATATATATATATATATTTCAATAAAATAGAAAGGATACATAAAGGCTGTATGAGAGAGCCCAAAAGAGGCACTCTGCCCATACGATATAAATACAGTAATACCCCAATAAAAAGATACATATAAACTCAATAAAAAGTAAAACAAATTTAAAACATGCAAAAAAAAGTAGCTAGGGACGAGCCAGTTTAGTTCTGCCTCTTCCTCTAGTTTTAGAAGAAGATCCAGATAACAAATTGTTGAGTGTCGAGTTTGAAGAGTCGTGTCATTGTAGTCGTGTCATTGTCAGAAGTAACTAAAGTATCATCCATTAAGTTTCCAAGTTGGAGTGTACCCCCAGCCTTCTTCTGTCGAGAAGTGTAAACCTGTCATTCGTCATCTGAAGACTGGCTCATGTGATCCTCGGTCTGATTGGATGTTAGAACCGCAGCAGAAGGAAAGACAGTCGTTGGCACCGCGACAAGTTCCAACGTATGTGAAGTGTGAGTTGTTACTTCTGCACCTGATGCTTCCTGAAAAGGAGTTGCGAGACTATCCTGATTTTCGGTTTGAACATTATCCGTTGTAGTATGGTCAGGAGAAAGGATCCGAGGGGCAGACACCACTCATGTCTTGTGGTTATTCCCTCCTCAGGTTGGCTGTCATCAGGTTTCCCGGGAGCACATTCAGGCACATGGGGTGCACTAATAGTGTGTTTCTACTTTTGACTGTTGGTTCTCAACTGTGGGTGCAATTTGAAATATTTCTCCTGCGGGTGTCTAAACATCTTGTAGTGCTTGCAGTAGTAAGTTTTTTGTTTCATAATAATTTTTTGTCAATAACCATTGTGAGCAGATCCAAGCCAAACTTTTTCTACATCTAGTAGTGTAATATTTGTTTCAATCAAAATTCTTGCAATCTGGTAGTGTCCTGTTTATATATATAATTTTTTTTATTTTAATTATTTTTGTCTTTTTCTTCAAAAAAGAATCGGTATTTAGGAAGGACTAAACCATCCCCTAAATATCGGTTCCCTTATATGTGCTTATCCGACCTGAGGGGATTCGAACCCATGACAGAGGAGACTTGCGTTAAGGCCGCCTTCCAACAAGAGCCACAGTTGCACGCACGCGTGCTCACACAGACACATATATTATTATAAAAAGAAAACTTCATTAATGTAAAAGAAAAGATACAAAGGTTTTAGTGAGTGGGTAATAAGAACTCACTCACAGGGAATACAACTCACTCATAAAGAGACTTTAAAATACTCGTATACCCCAAAAATTATGAAATACTCCTAATCACAGTGGGTGGATTTATCACTTCCCCTCCCTCTGGATCTAGTGAGGGAGTCCAACAACAAACTGAGATGTGGGCTTCCGCCCAAAATTATCAAACAGTCATCCCGAAAATTCCTGAGTTCTAGCATTCCTTTTTTATTCTTTCAAGATTGGTAAACTTGTCATTCATCTGTCAGTGTTTGTCTCATCTGATTAATTGGTGTATCTTTGATGGAGAGTATGTTGATCCCTAAATTGCTGAGCAGGTCTCAGCCTGCAGCACACCTTGATCGTGGCGCTCCTCCAAGACTTGAGCACCCTCTTCTCTCGCAATAGATGGTTCCAAAACACTTTAGCTAGCATCTGCTACAACTAAATTCTTAGTATTTATGATCTAAGAAAGAGCTACCTCAACAGTAGTGGGAAGTAGCTGCTAAACTGGTTGGTGAGGAATAGTCTGATGAGACAAATTTTCAATCAACATTTCTGGAAGGTCTTCAGTTTCTCCTATATTTTCCTCCACTTGGATGATGTTGTTAGGAATTGCAGAATCCAAATGCACAGAAAGGTTGGATCTCAAATGTGGATGAAGTCTGAAGCATTTGGCAGGTGTATTCCCAAACAGTTTACAGTGATTACAGTTGTAGAATTTTTGTTCTGCGATAATTGACTACTAATACCCATTGTGGGCAGTACCAAGCCATATTTCTTCCACATTAGAGAGAGTGATATCCTTTTCAACAAGAATCCTTGGAACTGAAGGCCTGGATATGTTGAAGGTGGGTATGTCCAATTTCATAGGTCTCCCTAGTGCAGCTCCAATATAATAGAGAACTTGGTTATTAAAGCAGTGCAACTTTAAGCCAGATAATTTAAACCAGATTGGAACTATAGAGGTTCTTGGCTAGGATCAAATTCAGGAGACCACTCGAGCAAATATTTTCCATCAATTGTCATATACTTCTTGGAAGATATTTTGGCATAATCCTCTATTTTAGATAATTGTATTATCACATGTCTCCCATCAAAGAGACCAACTTTCCAATGTCCCAATAGTTTGAGATCTTTAAAAGCCTTTCAAGCGATTTCCATTTTAGGATGTCCCAATTGGAACTTCCCAATGAAAGTAAATTTGCACTTATCAACTAGGTTGGAAACTTCAGCATCAGAGAAAATTAAAGCTAGTTTGTCACTCTGCCTGCTCGCCTTCTTGATGAGCAGTCCCTATGGCCTTCAAATGAATCATGATAAACCTGAGGGAAAACCTAATTATCCATTGAAGCAGTCAGTGGTTGAGGAGGAACAGAAGCCATAGAACTGAGAGTTGAACAGCGGCTAGCTATTGGGTTTGAGTCGTGACTTCAACCGGAGCTCTCGTGCGTCCAAACTTAGAGCAGAGGAGGAGGATGCAAGTGCAAACGCTCAATCCTGAGCAATCGAGCGGAAGGAGAGAAACTTTGTGCCGATGCGAAGGAGTATCCCTGGAATTCTAAATAAGCGAGGACAATGTGCTAGAAATCTGTTTATATGTGGTCAAAGAAGCATGAAGTACTACTGTATTAACATAATCTAGCCTACTAACAAGGCAAAATAAACAATTTTCTAATTACCAAAATAATCAAATTATATGCATAACCCAAATCCATACCTGGTTAGTTGTTCAGAAACAACCTCATCTTTTAGAAGCTCTTTCCCGCTCAAATTATTTAAAACACCACTGCACCTCATTCCACTTATTCCAAATAAAGCATCTGGACCTGCTTAAATGCGAGGGATAGGAAGCGGTTAGTTGATAATAAAACACGCAAAGGCATGCAATATAAAAATCTGAAAGAAATGGATGAAAAACTGAGAAAAAAAAAAAAGTGGAAAACTTTTTTTTCAAAAACTATGGCACATGCATCATGGAAAGGAAGTTAACACTTCTTCAATTGGAATGAAAAAGACACCTAGTCAAAAGGTAATGGCTACCTGTTAAGGGCCTGGTGGCTATTTATGACAATTGCGAAGAAAATTATTCAGAATAACTTCCTCAAATAACAAACTCTTGTTTGGCTTCATCAATCAATAATTTCTCATATCAGCTGACGTCCTCTTTGTTCTAAAGACTATTAAACAATCTATTAATCACACTACAGCTGCACCTCCCAAGTTTCTAGGAATCCAATTATTAGCTCAGATGGGCTGAGATTTGCCAAATATGCACCAACTTCAAAGCTAACTCAATATTTATGTTAAATAATTTTCAGTTTGCCTTGTTTTTTTACTTGCATGTAGTTATTTTTTATGAAAGCATTTCCAAATTTATTTAATGCAATCATTTTGAAAAAGAAAATCATGTTATCTTCACTCTTAATGTGTAGGAAAGAAGTGAAAAAGAAATACAGAGGATAAAATTGGCATACTCCAAGACCCTTGTTGGAGGAAATTTGGCCTTTTATATAAAGGTTTACAATGACACAAAATAGAAAATAAACAAGTTAATCTTAATTAAAAAACAGAAGTTACATATTACATTTTTTTTTTCAATTTAAAAACCTATTAAAGAAAAACCGTAGCATCCACTTATCAATCCGTGGGTTGCTGCCTTCCAAGAAAGTAATGCTATATCACAACTCAAAAAAATTATGGGCTACCATTACTTCTTGAGAAAGCACCAGCGAAAAACCATTTATCCAAGTATTTATGTGAGTTTTCATGTCATGACAAGAAAAGATAAAACGGGGCGCATGGTTGAAGTATTCAACACTTCTCCTAATTCTAAAGTTGGTTTGTAAACGTCAAACATGTCACGACCCGACCTAAGGATTGAAATTAACCAAGACAAGAACAGACGATCGAACGGTAATAATCACGATTTTCTATATTCATTTTTTATAACTAATATTTTATAATTCAAATGAAATGAAAGAGCCGCTAAATAAAGTAAATTAAAGTAATAAAGTCATATTTTTCTCATTTTTGGTTGTTTTCGTTTTCTTTAAATATTTCCTCTATTATTCATCTTTTAATCAAATGATTAACCTTGAAATATTAGTTTAAAACAACTGTGAACTATAAAAGCTAGTGAGCACATCTACTTCTAAACTACAATAATGTAACGAAAACGAAATGATATGTGTGCTATTTAGAAATAATATAAATTAATATAAATATTTGACTGTTTATATTTTCAGATATGATTGTTTACGATAATTCATAACATTCAATGAGTTTTACTATATCAATAACATGTTTATGTCATTTTATATAACGACAATCGTCTCAAGAGCACCGTCTAAAATTGTACCAATTCAGATACGTCGATATAACTATCAGTTTTCAATTACGAGCACAAATATCTTAACATTCACCCACTAGTATTATAAAAGGATGAGTTCCAATATAATCAAACATGCACATGCAAACATACTATAAATTATTTCATTTACGTTATAATTATCATTCAATATCTTTCTTTTATAATATGCATGTGTGAAAAATAAATATATTATACAAATTCTTGACATTCTTTTCTGGTAATCAATTTCAATAATAAGGCAAAAAATCATATTCTACTTATAGTACTAAAGTGTATTGATCAATATCATTCTAATGCAAGTGATTTAGAAGATATCATAATTTAGAAGTAAAAGCACGCATCTTGATCTTAACTTACTCATTTGTCTATAATTCATGTTTTATAGTTTCATTATAACTAAATGCTAATAAATGAATTTTTCCTTTAAAAAATGTAATAAAAGTAAACTCGAGCTTTTCCCCATTATCTCCTCTTCTTTTGCACAAACACTGATTTCGTTCTTTTTAATTCTTTAATTCAACCACTTGACAATTCATAATCACAAATATTAATTTATAGAATCTGATAGACTTAATAACATTAAAATAATTTATATAATTAAAACTATAAACTCTACTCACGGATGAGTCTTCAATCCCGAATGCACAAACATCCTCTTCCATTCTTCGTTCGGCTAGGGCACGCCTCGCACGAACCTATTCGATTAGACCGCACGTGGCATTTCTTTGGCTTCGCACGATTGCATCTTTGCTCGGATCCTTCCTCTCTCTCTTCTCGATCACACAAGTTCTACCTTCCCATGCTCAATTTCGACATCGACAGGCGTCTTATCCTTCTTCCACGACTTGAAGCTACACATTGCCCTCCGTCTCAACAGTGTTGCCTTCTCTTCAATGTTTCGAAACCCTCGCTCCTCTTCTCACTATCTGCTCTCTCTGTCGTTCTATTCACTAGTTCGACTCAAATAAAATGTTAACCTCCAATATAGAAATCTCCTCAATGGCTATAATCAAACCAACATTTCAGCTTGATTAATAAGATTTATTTTTGTTATTACAGTCTCCCCTTTTTATAAAAATTTATCCTTGAAATTTATAAATAAGCCATAAGTCATCACTCATTAAACAGGTAAGCGTGAAATTTCATGAAGAAAATTAGTGGTCATTCAGTAAGATAAAAAGTGGTCACTATAAATAAAGACCTGATACAAAATGAATTAACTGAATTCACATCATCAACTGAAATAAGGCAACATAAGTAGGGTAACAGCATAACTCAAACAAAATGACAACTAAAACAACACACACTCGCCCTCACATGATCTTATGACTCTTCCTTCAATTTCAATTACAAGCCTCATCTCCTCTATTCGATGATCACGATTGTCTTTGTTGGTCAACATCGTCGCATTCGACTCGTCCCACTAAGGCGAGTATTCCTTTTCTTCTCCTTTCTTCTTCCTCCTTGCCTCACTTTTGCCCCGCTCTCTCAGCCCCTCGGTCACGATGGTTGGTTCAAAACAAAGTTTCGTGTCGCCTTATAAAGGTGAAAAACTTGTTTCATCTCTCTCTTTTCTCTTAGACTTCCATTTCTTCTCCCTAAATTAGCCTTTTATATCAAATCTTTACAATTTTCCCCACATACAAAAATTGTAGTCGAAATTTGCATATAATTATTTTGTTTATTATTATATATTTTATTACAACTTTATTAAATTTCATATTAGAGTTTTAAATTAATTATGTTATTGGCTCTTTCAATAATATTCACATTACTTAAATCTAAACCTTACACTTTGAAACCACTTTGTCAAAGACCCAGTCCTGAATTTGGAATTAACTAAAACGGGAACAGACTATTGAATAGTGAAAATCAATTTTTTCTATTTATATTTTCTATAACTAACAATTTATAATCCAAATGAAATGAAAGAGCCACTAAGAAAAATAAATTAAAGTACTAAAATTAAATTTATTTTATTTTTGGTTATCTGCTTCTTCTATTGCTTATATTTTAAATCAAATAATTAAACCCGAAATGTTAGTTTAAAAATAAAGTTAACCATAGTCAATGAATGCTCGTACTTCTGAATTATGGTAACGTAACAAAAAAGGGAACGATACGAATGCTAGTCCAAATATTATGAATCAATATAAAAGCATTAGATAGTTTACTTTTTCAGATATGATCGTTCAAGATAGTTCATAAAATTCAATGTATTTTACTATATCAGTAATATATTTATATCAGTTTATAATATGTACAACCGTCATAGAAACACCGTCTAAAATTATATCAAAGAAAGTACATCAATATCAATATTATTTTCTATTAACATGCACGCGTATTTTAACATCTCACAGCTAGTATCATAAAAGAGTGAACTCCATCATAATCAAGTATTCACATGCAAGTAATATATGTAGCTTATATTAATCATATAATTGTTTCATTCAATTTCATATAATTTATATACCTTTAAATAATGCATAATAATAGTTACCGCAAAAATTTAAAATCATCTCAATAATATGACTCATAAAAATAAGAGTATATAAATCAGATAAAATTTGGCAATTAAATTTATATGGAGTAACTATTAATGCAATTGATTAATAAAAAATAAAAATGCTACTACAAATCAAAACTAAGAATACCCGTCTTACTTTCAGATGATTTTGCTTCCTTTTAAGTTATGAAATCCCTACTACAATAGAATACCTATCATCAATTTCAAAATGTACTATTATTAAATTAACTAAATGATTTATCTTTATTTATAATTGAAATATTTTTAATGTATAATATTTTATGAGATTTGATACATATTATTTGAAAGACACGATGGTTCCGTCTCCTCTCTGCTAGGGTTAGCGATTCGATGGCGACGCGGGTGATCGATCGTCATGGCTCGCTCATACGCTGGCGCGACGGCCAGCGGCTTTGGTGGCATTGGTAAAGGGTTTCATTCCTATGCCAGCGGTGGCGTTCCAAACTTCCCTTCTGCTTTCTACGACAATCTCGCTCTCAAATCCGATACTTCTTTCGTTCGACGTCCTGGGTGGAAGGGAAAGCTTGCTCTCTTCCTCTCTGATGCCGAGAACGGCGAACTCGAACGGCGAACTCGCCTCTTCCTATCCTACCGTCTTTATCTGGTAGGGAAGTTCCTGTATGGGCATCCTAAAATGGAGTTTCTTCGAAAACACTTTGAATTGATGAGGCTTATGGGAGATTTGAAGATAGGTCCCTTAAATGGAAGGCACATTTTAATTCAACTGTCTAATGAAGAGGACTATACGCGCCTATTTGCGAAACGATTAGTGTGGTTTGAGGACTGCGGTATGAAGGTCTTAAAATGGTCAGAAAATTTTGATCCTAAAGCTGAGGCTCCTATTATTCCAGTCTGGCTTCGGTTCCCAAATTTGAAAGTTCATCTCTTCAATCACGAAATCCTCCTCC